GTTCAGTAATTTCTCTTTAATAGCAATGAATATGTTATTTTCATTGCCATTAAAGTGAAATAACTGAACATAGGAGCCTGAGAAAAAATGCTCATTTTAGAAGAATATTTAAGATAGCACTTAGAGGCTTTTGCATCTGAACTCTTCAAATATGTTCGCTACTTGTAATCGAGCATAGTTAACACTTATGTAAAGCGCTTTGATATTTCATTATTTATTTAACGTCGACATTGACTTATTGGGCATATGGCTACATTTTAAGAAGCGTATGTCATAATAAACCCTAAAGATTTTTTTTTCGTATGGTCCACTTAAGCACGCAAAGACTGATCACCAGTCTGTGTCCTTGCCTTGTTTTCACTCAACTGATTATTTAGTTATAATGTATTTTGCTTGTGACGGTACATTAAAATTATCAATGTAAAAATTATGACCTGTTATATTTGTTCTTTGTGTGTTTCTGTAGCCAAAGTAATAACACAACCTGCTTGGGTGGTTTATAAAGTAATTTTAATTTATTCTTTTTTTTATTATTCTATAATGTGTGTGTGTGTGTGTGTGTATATATAGGCTAATGTATTCCATAAAAAGTCCATAATGTTTATCATTAATAATGTAAATTTTAGTAATAAAAATACAATTCATAAAAAAAAATATTTTATACTATTAAGTAAACGTGTGGGGGTTTTACAAGTATATAGTATACAGTTAAACAATACATAGCCTATATTAAACTAAATGTCCTCATAGGCATTGTAAAAAGAGAAAAAGAAAGCGGATCAATAAAATATAGGGGAAGGAAAATATCGCATAAAAAAAGCGGAAAGTGTCTCTTCTCCCTCGAAATAGAAAAACGCGGCGTCTGTGCGTGAGCGCACTCTTCGTTTTAGAATTACACAATCTGGACACAAGAGGGCGCCATGTATCTATATTCGACCATAACATCAACTATGAGAGAGACCGTGCCATAGGACATCATTTTAGCTTCATATATCAAAAAACTAAAAGGTACAAACAGGGGAAATCAAATCCAGACCTTTTCCTGTAACGTATCAAGACTAAGATCCAAATGGAAATGCATTTCCTACTTTGTGGAAAATGGCTTTCTTGTTTAATTGGCTGGTAGCTTATTTGATGTCATAGAGGAGGAGTCACGAGGAATTCTCAGCATTGCTGTGTATTGTGAGGAGACCCATAAATCCCATCAGTGTGATCTGCATGTAAATCGCAGCTCTACTGGGGTCCGCCATTTATGGCAGGATTTGTTTGCACTGACACACTGGACCTATTTTAAATCCAGCTCTAGTCTGGCCAACAGACTCCAACTTAGAGAAAGTGCCTGCACAGACTTGGTGCTTTCGTTCAGTCAAAACAATATTTGTATATGAGATAAATAACAAAAAAATCAAGGAGCCTCTATGTTTTACTTAATCGTCACACTTTTAAATATTTCTTGTGCTCGCTTTATTTTTGAAAGTCCGTTTTTGTGTAGACACATCTTAAACACTTGGTTTTGAACTTTTGAACTTTTCCTCCATTATTGCCCAGGAGGAAAGACACAGCCCATTTAACATAATATGCTCCAACAGTACTTACCCTATATGGGGCAAGTTGTCACAAAAGGACCTGCCTAACTATTTTAAGCTTTTATTCTACATTTAAAGAGCAAAACAATTATGAAACACTTTGTTGTGACAACCAGCCCTGGCCTCCCCTATATTGAAATTACATAATTATTTTCTTCTCCAAAATAATCAATACACATCTGTGCATTTGTCAAAAATATAAAAGTACTACATAGAAAATGTCTTTAATATGGTTTTAACTTTCTATGACCTATAATGTTTAAAACAATTTATCTGTTTACAAGTAATCCTACAGAAATAGTTACACCCAAATACAGTAGAGTAAATGTACAATTCTTGTTGTTATTATTATTACTTAAAAATAGTGACCTTTTTATTTGCGCTAAGTAGGGAAAGTGAAAACGTAAACGATAACAACAAAGAGCTATATCTTATATTATATTATATTATAAAATCTATATATATAAGGTCTACCCTCCTTAGGTCTCCTGGTTTCCTCAGTGCTCACTAAGATAAATCACTCTTATATTAAGCTCTCCTGAGTTCTAGGGTGTCATTGAGTAGGTGAATGTACAAGAGTTAATCTGAACATTATCTGTGCTAAGTCCAGTGCAGCGGCTTTTGCATAACACACAGGTGGGAGGAAAACATTTCCAATCTCTCCTGCCCTAAACAAGCGTATAAAATCAAACATGATAAAATACTTTTTACTTTATTCCTTCCTTATAAACTAACTGGTAATGTTTTAAAGCACTTAAAAAGGCCAAATGCTTTAGTTTCTTATATTGTTGGGTCAAGGATAAATGCTATCATTAAAGGAAGCTGAAGAGCAATCAATCTAATTCATGATTGTTAATGGTTATTAGCCCCTAAAAGGCTGCTGAAATAACTGTTTCTGGTAAACACAACCCTCTGTGACAGGAGAGGAGTGTTGGCTGGTAGCCCCTAGAGAATCCTTAATGAGTACTGCTTTGAATCTGTCTGTGTGAGCCAGTGACTAACTCCCAGCCAGTGGGTGGCACTGAATGTATCATCCATTCAAGTCAGTCACTGAACGCCCACTCCCACTCTATATATATAGTCAACATCCTCCATCTTGCTCTCCCCAAAGAAACTGAAAAAAAAGTGTAATCACTTCTGTGGCTAATTATTTCATACTGAATGCTTAAAAAATGTAGGCAAAAAATATCCAGTTTGAAACATTCTATATTATTAATGTCATTGGGACGTTTACAACATGAGCGATAAATTTAAATAAAGGTAACTGTAACAATAATGAACTATATTAGCATCCACACCAGGGAATGATAACATTCTGATTTTTATAAGCATGCGCTGCAGTTCTGTCGTCTGTCGCTTTAAATGCTTGAGGGTGAATTCTGATTGGCTGTCTGTTTTTATCGTTCATCAGCTAGAAAAAAAAAATTAAAAGCGATTCCAACAATATTGTTCCTCCATGCCGTTATTGTTACAGTTGTGTTGTGGACTCTGCTATCTTTTACATTTAGAAAGATTTTTTTAAACTATGCTGTATCTCAAACGAGCCATTTTATGGATTTCTGTCATAATTTATTAACCTTCATGTCATTCCAAGCCTGCATGAATCATACGGGACTGTTTTATGGCACTTTATTCTATTTGGAGCCCCTGGTCGCTGTATGCTTTCACTGGATGATAAAGAGCAGCATGAACATTCTTCAAAATTTCTTCTTTTTTGTTCCATATAGAAAAAAATAATATTGGTTTAGTAAATAAATAAATAAGAGGGTAAGTAAATTCTGACACAAATTTTTGGCTGAACTATTCCTTAGAACAAAAGACGTATATTCTTCATTTAAAAAGTATAAAATTTAGATAAATAAGTTATTTGTTTGGAAAGGAGTGCTGGCTTGTCTTGACATGGCTCATATAAGGTGTTTATTCAATGACCTGCCAAAAGAGTATTACTACTGACACTTTGATTTCCAATGTGATATAACCTATTTCTACTAATCTGGGATCAATTAGTGGAAAGACTTAGATAAGACCTCTTATATACAGTATATATAGCCAGGGCACAGTGTCATAAGGTCAAGCAGACGGTAGCTACTGAAGAAAGCCTCCTTACAGATTAAGAAACCATTTTAACAAGTACTAAAAAAGAACTAAACCTGTGCTTGGCACTTTGGTTAGGGTCTCTGGGGAAATCACTTGTTTACTGAGGATTCTGCAGTCTTCATAGGTGCAACTAATAAGGCACAGCCATTCAACAGACAGAACATATTAGTGTCAGTGATATTGTTTTTAAATATTATGAATCAGTTGTCCACCATTTAGAACTGAATGGGTAATTCCTTTTTGAATTCAACTTTAATTAAGAAACTCTGGAACAATTTCAAGAAGGAAAATACAATTTCAGTCTTTCTACTTCAAAATGTTATGTTTAATTCAATGTCACATGCTGTTTTTTTGTTGTTGTAATTATTTGTGAAATATAGGCTACAATTTCTGAGTGTAATAGTAAGTAGTTTTCAAAGTATTTTTAGATACACTGAAAAAAACAAATCATAAATATTTAAGAATTGGCAAGTATAATGCAATGAATTTAAACGAAATTTTAAAGTAAAAAGTCCGAAATAGCAATTTCTTGTAAAAAGTACTCCAGTGATGATATTTAAAACTTCAAAAAAATCTATTTTTAAAGTATAGATAGCTAGACAGACAGAGACAGACAGACAGACAGATAGATAGATAGATAGATAGATAGATAGATAGATAGATAGATAGATAGATAGATTTAAAAATAGAAGCTTTAAAAATAGTTCCAAAACTGGGACGTGTTGATTGCGAGCTAATTTCCTACTTAAAAACTACATGACACAAAATAGCCTCCTTGACGTATATTTCTTGTGTGCACGTGGCCACGCGCTGCTTGAAGACAAAGCGCGTGAGGTTCCGCAGTGCTGTGAATGAGCGAACCTGCGGTTACTATAGCGACAGACTAGAGAGATGAAGCCCCAGTTCACATGTCTTCCGCTGACCCAGAGAAACCCATCTCACAGACTGCAGCAAATTCCGGCCAATGAACTCGAAGATCATTCATGTCGAGTGTTTTATTCACAGCTCTACGAGACTCGCTCATCCTTGCTTGCAGGTGAACGGGACTGGTTGATGATGAAAAACCCACAACAAAGACGCAGCCTTGGAGTAAAGTCGTAAACAAGATTGATCCATCTGTAAATGAACTGTAGATTCATAATTAATATTAGTTTCCTTCCTTTTTCAAAAACGATCATTAGGAATCAAAGGGCAACGAATATAAGGGCAAAATAAATATACAAACCCGTAGAATAAACAGAGAGAAAAAATGTAGCTTGTTAGTCAAACGAAAAAGTAAGAACAAGTGACTACAAATGTAAGAGATTTGGAGTTTTATTGTACACTGTAGAGATAATGCATAGATGGCTTGTCCCAAAGATCAGCTTAAGTTATGGATGCTATGTAATCTTAAAATATGTCGTCAAATGGCACGTGGTCAGTGCATTAATGAGCTTGTGCGTTATCGATCAAGAAAACCAGTCAGACTGGGTTTTATTTCATTCAAGCAAGAACACTGAAAAATCATGTCAAAGTATAAAATAAACTCCAAGCATGATCATCCCATTTTCCTCAAACCAGTGTGAATCAAAACAGTAAGATCACCCATGAATTGGCACATAGAACATCTCAGTGAAGAGAAAACATTTTCAAGTTTCAAATCCAGAATGGCTGGAGACAGGCGTCTGTCAATAGAGTAAATGAGCACAAACAGGTCAGCACCTTGGATAGTTCCATTCACATCTCTTCAAATGGAGCATCATCCTCCTGAGACCCATGCAGTCATTTGTCCATACTAATAGGACTACCTTTTAATCCTTGATATAGCAACTTCCAGAATTTTTAATAATAATGTGGCCAATGCAATAGGCTATAACATAAATGGTATATATTTTTAGAACTAAACGGATATTAGGCTATGTTTGTTATAGGCTACACCAAACACTTAAATTATGTAAAACGATTCTAATGCAACATTAGACCTCAAATATACAACTTTTCTTTAGGTCTCAGGAGGATAGTAACCCAAATGACAGATGAGGCTGACAATTATATAGAATAAACGTTGTGCCTTCCCTTTTTTATGAATGACTGTGAATCACAGCAACAGATGTAAATCTATAGGCCCACGACATGCATAACACAGCAGCTACACCGATGAAGCCATGTTGGCTATTACAAATCACTTCACCGGGGCTACTTAATACTGTTAAAACAAATCCAACACAACAGTGTCATAAATACTAAATTGATAAATCGGTTCAAGGTGCAACATAACAATCACTCAGGCAGAGCTGATTACAATTACGTCCAATAAATCAGAAGTAATGGATCTCTGCTCAGATTCTGATCACATGATCACACTCAGCGATTCAGTTCGCTTCCACCCTTCTTATAATCTCCTTCGTTTTTTAAGTCCTGGAAAACCTCTGTGAAAAAGTGCGGATCTATGTTAATCTGCAGCATTTTGCCGCTCAGTTTATCGATGACATCTAACGAACGTTCCCAGAACACGTCCTTATTGGTGTCGACCATGAAGGGCTTGAGAGGGTACGAGATCTCGTTCCCTATATAGGAATACGCTAGATAGAGGCAGGTCAGAAAGGTCCCTTGGAGTTCACGTGGATTGTCAACATCCTGGCTTACAGTTTCCCTAACGAGCAGATAGACGAACACGAGGTTGGCAGGCGTGATGAACCCGTGGTCCTGCCAGCCCTGCAACAGCAGAGTTCTGTCCACGTTTCGGAACCAGAGGACAACCTCGTTTGGGGTGAGTTCCCTGACTTTGCAGCATCGTTTGCAGAGGAATTCGCCCAGACAACGGAGCAGTTCCCCGGTGGAAGCCTGGACGATCACGAGCGACCGGCTGCTGGGCTGCTTCTGAACCGACACCAGTTGCTTCGCCGCTGGAGTGAACTGGTCCTGATCCTGGTCCAGTTGGGGAGGTACCGTGGGGATGGGTACCGCGAGAGGTCCATTTTTCGTTTTCTTCTCGGACTGTTGCGATTTCCTGGAGTTCTCCTGATTCAGATGCTCGACCTGATCGCTGCTCGCTGGCAGAGGAAGAGGATTCGGACTTACTTTCTTGGCACTTTTTTTCTTACCTGATGCAGTCACTAGCCGCTTAAATGTGAGCGTGGACACGACCACTGACTGCTTTTTAAGGCTTTTCTCTGTTTTCCCGTTGGCTTCGTCTCCTCCATCTTTCAGAATGGTCCCCTTAGTTGCTATAGGGGCTATAGAGAGCACGGTCCCCATATCGCAGAGCGCGCCGACAAAAATGTAATGTTACGGCCCTGCGAGCGCGGAGGCGTCGCGATGGAGATTGAATGTATCAGATCACAAGGGCAGCTCCATTTGGTTAGTAAAACAGGCAGGTTAGCAGGTGGACTGACAACCCATCAGAAAGGAAATTCCAGAGTAGCCAGACACTCCCTCCACTCCTTCTGTAGTAGTGACTGCAAGCCAGTCCTCCTGCATTGCCTACCTCAACTAGAGGAGATTTATGGTGAGCCAAACATCTGACATCAGCTTCTGCTAACCGGGATTATCCCAACGTGTCTGCGTAATTAGCCAACCTCAGGGCTACAGAAGACGAATGACAGACTAAAGCACCAACAGAAGCAAACGCCTGCGTTCACATTATCACTTCAGAAGGTTGAATTTTTAGACCGCATGAGCCAAGTATAGTGCTGCTATTCCCAGACAAGGCACAATTCTCTCCTCAGCTCTTCCATTTAACCTACTTAGCACTGAAATAGTTGAAAAAGAAAACAATAACCAGTGATTAACCAAGATAAATGTAATGAGAATAAATTGAGATAAACTGTTAGGCTATTATTAATAATATTTGTCCAAGAGGGTTTCCTAGACATTTAAAAATATATATTATTAAAACCATATAAAATAAATGACATTTTTTCCTAACTCTTCGCACATGTTTTTGATGTTTGGAACAATTTACTAAAAGCAAATTAATCTGTCTTGGCAGAAACGGAGGTTACATGAGTACTCCTTTAAGTTTCCATGAGATTATAAAAGGAAACCCAAATTCATCAAGCTGCTCTGTCACGCTTAAATCTGGATTAAAGCAGTCAACATTAACATTTGCTCTGTAAATAGCCTATTTATGACAAATTTAATCATACTTCATTTATTAATATTTGTCAGGAGACACCGATGAGAGATTTTACATTCATTCTGCTGATGATACAGAAGATATGATGCAATATAACAGAATGTAATCTAAACATGAAATGTCTCAAATCCTGTTTACATTTACAGTTATGCATACGGTTAAGCGACTTAGAAAAGAGGAGGAACAAAAGCAATTTGTCAAAGAGCCAACAGTTTTCATAATACATAATTCCAGGTTTATTAGACAGCTAGATCAACTTTAACACACTTGTTCCTGTGCAAGTTAAATGGTATGGTCTTTGTCTTCTTACTGACCCCATGCTGATCGCCCATCTGTGACCCTGCTGAATGACGAAAGGCCTGTCTGATCATAACAGCTGGCAGGACAGATAAACTGTAATACACACCAAGGTACCTTTGAATTATACAGTATTATAAGAAAAAAAAAATCAAGTCTTTAAGGTATATAAATAACAGTGCACATTATGGCACAAAAACAATCCGATACAATGACTCACTACTCATATTGAGAGTATTATTCTTTGAAAATATGGTATGTTACAATGCACATAATGTGATAACAAAACATGCTCCAGTAACTAGGACACAGGGAACCTGTGAGACTCTGAGGAATTGCCCACAATGCAGCGTCACACTGGTAGAACTGACAGTACTGCAGTCAGAGCAGCATCTCTGTCTAATGAATATGCAGGAAGAGGGTTATGAATATTCACCTCTTGCAGCAACCTTACACAGTTACTGTGAAAAGCAATGTGTTTGAAAAGAAAATGATTACTTTTTTCTCCTTCTCAATCTGTCAATCCAGTAGGCTACATTTCTACTGAAACAATGAAATGATCTCTTTTCATAATAACCAACCATAATTGTATTGGCTGTCGTTAAGCATCTAATTTTAATAAATTGTATTACAGTCAGATGTGGCATTTGCCAAGTTTGTCAATATCACCTAATTACAGATATGAATCAGCATCACTGTAAGGCAACAGTTGAGAGACAACTGTTGTGGAGGAAGAACTTGCTGAGTCAAGGCAAGGATATGTGAGTTACGTCTCAGATTTACAGCAAATTCTTTATTAGAACATTCTTCAATGAAACCAGATCATTAGATATATCAGTAAATCAAGGCTGTTTATTACCACTGTCCTAATGTACAGTATTCTTGGAAGACACTCCTTGCACTCTCTCGTCACCTTGTGGTCAGTTATAAAAATGCAGTCTACAAAACTAATAAAGCAAAGTTGGTCTAAAATTGGATGACACTGTCCAGCTGCATACTTCACATCACATATTGTTCATAAATATCTGATCTTATAAATGGGGGTACATATATAGGTGTATTAATATACATTTTTATTATTATTAAAAATATTTCATACATTGAAACAATGTATATATTAAAAAGTTATATATTTTATCTAAATTAATAAACATTAAAACTAAAATTATTTGTTTTAAATCATCACAGCATTGTACAACATACTGTAGGCTACAGTATTAAGAATAATAATTTTGAGATTTGTTTTTACATTTAACATTGGATGACACTGTCCAGCTGCATACTTCACATCACATATTGTTCATAAATATCTGATCTTATAAATGGGGGTACATATATAGGTGTATTAATATACATTTTTATTATTATTAAAAATATTTCATACATTGAAACAATGTATATATTAAAAAAGTTATATATTTTATCTAAATTAATAAACATTAAAACTAAAATTATTTGTTTTAAATCATCACAGCATTGTACAACATACTGTAGGCTACATTATTAAGAATAATAATTTTGAGATTTGTTTTGGATTACATTTAACACTAACAGTGTATTAATTATTAAGTGTATTAACTGTAGTAGTGTTAGATGAAGGCAAAAGTAATTTAAATAGGGGAAATAAACATGCACAATTGAATATCCAATATAGATACTGAATAATAATAATAATAATAATAAAGAATTTAATTTTGACCAATAATCAGTATGATACTGATCATGAATTCTTAATTATAAATATATAAATATATATCCTGATTTTCTCAAAGTATCTGAAACTAATTTCAGTTAATTTAATCACTACATTATGTAAGGACAGAAGAGGGCATCATCTACTAAGTCTCAGGAGTGCAAGCGTTTGGAAGAAGTGCAAAATCCTGATGATAGGGAGAGCTGATGATAGCCCCTGTCAGCAACGCCCTTCAGCACCTCAGGCTAATATTTAATAACCCCAGGCAAGAGCTAGCGAAATTATACACCCCCGGGGTCCCTATCTGTCTAATATTCTCATTCATGACAGAATCCTGCTTTCAGCCGAGGCACTGCTGCCAACAGAGAAATCTCTGAACAAATGCTGACTATACCTCCCCAGCTGTTAGCGGAGGAAAAAACTCTTCATATGAAGGACAACCATTTATTCAATTTGTCCCCATTTAGGTGGAAATACTTGGAACAAGCACCGTAAAATGTAAAGGTGTTAAATAGAGTTTATGGAACTATGTAATACAGATTTAAGAATGCTCACACAACTGCATGCGTAGAGTACAAATACCATACTGCAATTAATTACCAAACATTTTAAGGGGTTTATGGGAAAGAACTATGAGCATATAATCTGAGCCAAGGTCAATAAAGAGAAAAACTCAATGAACTTAACTATGTCATTGTGCACAATAGGCTGTGGCTGTTTCATTTCTCTTGCCCTGTAAAGCACAAGAATCTGTCCACCTCTTTGTTGTGGGTCACATCAAAAGCAAACACAGAGATCATGTTGCTGCTCTTATCACAGGGTTGTCCATCAGGACTCCAGAAAGGGCTTAGCGGCACAGCCAGGGGCAGGTGGGCGGCACAGCACATCACTGATAGGCTACTGCAGCTGGACGACATTGAGACGATAAGATAGACCGGCCTAAACAGACACACACACAAGTACAGAGCATGAAAAAGTGTTCAAACAAATACACTGTAAAAAAAAGAAAGATTCTTTATTTGCATTATTGGTTCTTTAACATCTATGGAAACTTTTCGTTGACTTTCCATTTCCATTTTATAGTGGAAAAGGATTAATTACACCATTTAAAACGTTCTCCACACTAAAAAACTGCACTGAAAGGTTCTTTGGAAAACCCAAAATGGTTCCTCTATGGCATTGCTGTGAAACCCTATTTTTAAAACCAAATTTGTAAGAGTTAGAATGGAAAACGCATAAAATCACAAAGTAAAAACAGGAGTCACTATACTCGAAAAGGAATAAAAGTTCTGGATGTTGGCTTCACAATACAGCGATGTCAACCACAGCAATTTCGTCATTTATTTTGGCACAGGGCCACTGACGCATAGATTTTGTTGAGCAAAATGCCGAATAATTATTAGAAAGAACAAAACAAAAATATAGCAACTGTAGTTTGTATTTAACAATGAAAAAAAAAAAACATAAACAAAAGCTGTCAGCTTCGTTTAACCTCACCGGGTCTAAATGAAGATCAAACACTGGATAATACTAATAAAGGCTCAATAAGACCGGCCGAGCTCTCTTGAACACAGACACACCTGCCTTTGATCAAAGCCTGCTGCTTGAAAGCCATGCATATGCGGTGTATAGTCCTGTCATGCAAACAAACCTGACGCTATATTTAACTGGGCAGCTATCACTTGAAAGGCCTGTTTGTTTTTATCTGAAGCTGAAAGACATCAGACGGCATTTGCTGCCTCGAGGGAGGAAATCTGTAACGCTGCTACTAAACTGAAAACTAGAAATGTCTGGTTATGGCCTAATCATTAAAGCTGTCACACTTCACTGATTATGTTGATTTATATAATAGCTCGTTTCGGTTCTCGAATTTAGGTTTTGTCTCACTCCGCTCTCTGTGTAGCAGTGAGGACTTTCTGTAGGTTACATCGGTAGGCCAGTAGGTGATGACAATAACTCTTAATGAGTAAATCATTCATTTCATTCAAAAAATAAATATTACTGCTTGAATAAAATAGGAAACACTCCTCAGTAAACACAAAACACAATACAATTGCAAACCTAAAATAAATAAATAAATAAATTACATTTACATGTAGTCATTAAGCAGACGCTTTTATCCAAAGCGACTTACAAATGAGGACAATAGAAGCAATCAAAACTAACAAAAGAGAAACAATATGTAAGTGCAAACGACAAGTCTAGGTTAGCCTAACGCAGTACACGTAGCAAGGTATTTATTTATTTATTTAGACACACACACACACACACAGAGAAAAACAAGTAGATAGAATAGAAAAAATAGAAAGCTAGTGTTTTTTAAAATAAAAAATAAGATAAATAGATAATGTAGAATTAGAATAGAATAGAAAGTGCTAGAGTTAGAGGGTCAAATAAAGATGGAACAGATGTGTTTTAAGTCGTTTTTTGAAGATGGCTATGGACTTAGCTGCTTGGATTGATTTGGGCAGGTCATTCCACCAGGAGGGAACAGTTAATGTAAAAGTCCGTGAAAGTGATTTTGTGCCTCTTTGAGATGGCACAATAATGCGCCGTTCACTTGCAGAACGCAAGCTTCTAGAGGGCACATAACTCTGAAGTAATGAATTTAGG